ACTTATTGCTGAGAACCTTGAAATATTATCATAATAGTTCAGCTGTGTTGAAATGATTGAATGTTCTGAAGTAGTTAAGATGAAGTTGTTTCAATCGCTGAATCACTTTCAGCATTCACTTGCAGAAAGGAAAATTGTTTGATGTGCTAAAATTAAGAAGTGGGCAAACTTACTCCAAATTGTTTGGGGGTTTAAAGCATTTAAATTAATTTTAAGCATTCTGGATTAAAAAAATCTCTATCCAGCCAGATTTGAATTGCAGGAATGTTGTTCTTTTAGTTGCCTCCCCCTCATCATAGCATTTCTTGGAGTGGCTTTTCAAGCTGTCCTGCGAGCTACCTCACCTTTAGGTAGAGGTGAGGCATCTCCTGTGAGCAGGTCCCAGTGTTTTATGTTTCAACTGTATTTTTAGTTTCCCTGTTGTATGTGGTGTCTCTGTTAGCTTTCTCCTTAGTTACATTCAGTTTTCTTCTTTCCACTGAGCTACAAGCAACCCACTTTAAAATTACATTCTGATAAAGCCCTATGGATTTTAAAGGTCACATTCTTTTCTTGGATGAATACATCATTCCCATTGATTCACCTGCTGTTTCTGCAAACTCAGAGTATTACTGATGACATTAATTATGTTAATATTCAAAGGGTTCTTAGTATGAGCTCAAGCTTTTCTAACATGCTAATTTTTGAGATCCATTTAAAATTCAGGGAAGATGGGAAGGAGTTGAGTGTTACCACACTGGAAAAGAGAAAATAATTTTCTTTGTGCAATTCATGGTTCTGAAATGGTCCTGCAAGCAATGATGACTTTTTCTAAGTTATTGGTTGTTTTACTACCTAGGATGTAAAGCAATCTCCAGATGTGATTGCATGTTGTTTTTCCTGCTGAGGCATTGGTATAAAGGAATTCTATCAAACCTATTCAGAGAAGCCAAAGAAAAGCCTAAAAAACAATAGGCAGCAGAAAGCAGCATAAAACCACTACATTGCTTCAGCTTGCTCTTACTTTGGCATTGTTATCTGGTTCTAGGAACCATTTTAACATCTGTTTCTTGAGGAAACAAAACACATTTCTAATAGTAGCAAACAAAGCACTTCCACAGATCTGGCACACAAAGCAGCTTGCTCCCTCTGACAAGAGAATGTGCCCCATAAGCTGGTGATTTGTGTGTGTAGATTTGATTTGGAGTTTATTCCCACTTTAAGCAAACTGTATTCTATGTACCACAAGTGCATTTTGTTTTTTGCTTTAACTTTTGTCCTTAAGGATCTCAAATCTTACGTTTTTTCTTTTGGGGCTTAGAAATGGTTGGTCTTTTTAGGTTGAACTTAGGTCCTAGAGAAGTGCCTAGCACATGCTCTGGAAGCGTCTACATGGCCTTTGCTGGTACATCAGGGTAGCAAGGTAGTCTTGTCTTCTGCAGGAGCTGCTGGGGAATGTCACATATTGTTGCTTTTGTCTGAAGAAATCAAAGGTTACTTCAGATGCCTAATTTGGTTCCTATTGCTCAGCAGTGGTAGGAATTGCTGGAATTTGAGAGCGTTAAGCTTCTACAAGACTAGACTCATCTAGACAGAGAAGTAAATCTTGAAACAATAGTGTGTACATCTGTGTCTAGTTCAGCTATTTGCAAATCACTCTCATTTATTCTTTTTAATCTTTTTCCTTCCTGATGACCCTTACCTTCCTCTCAGTAGGCCTGTAATTCTTTCCTTGAAAATGTACATCGATTTGTTTCTTGCTCCTTTGGTTTGAGGAAGAGAGGAAAAGTCAGTGAAATCGAAGCCTGGCTTAGTTTGCAATATTACCGTGTTAACTGAGGAAACAAAACACGAGTCTAGGAGCAATCCATCTTCATTGGTTTTGTACAAGGTCCTGCTTGTGTTAAGGCTACTACAGGTGTCACCAATTCTGATGTAAATATTTAAGATTTGAGGAGATTTCGCTCTGAATATTTTCAGACAGAAAGTTGACAAGAGTGCAAGTTAAATATAAACTAACTGAAAGAAAACTCTGGGCCTTATTCTGCTACATGATGTCACTAGGATGCTGTGGAGTAGAGATGTATGTTAATTGTCCATTTTAATGAAAATAGTGAATAATAATTGTATTATTCAACCTAAACTGTTTGAAAGGCACAGATGTTAAACTGGGTAGTCTGCATAAAATTTTTATTAGCAAATGTTGAACATGGTTTTGCTGCATTTCCAAAGTATGACATGTGCAACGTTGTATTTCTCTAATTTGATCAGCATCTCTTTGCAGCTGATCTGACTATGAATTGACCTATGCTGCATTTTTTGTAGCTGCATTTGTTGTAGACTTTTGCAGTGTGTCTCAATGTGAGCCCTGCTAAGATAATATATATTAAGAGGCTCAAGCAGGAAATACTTTCATGGTGGGAACATAGCTCATCTTCAAAACGATTACCCAAGGTGCAGAGGGTGTCTTTGAAAAATTCTTACAGGGAGAATGTAACATATAGCAATGAATACTGTAGCTTAACAACAGCACCAACCTTACTGCATAGCAAAAATGATCTGAGGTCTACTTAATATAATATGATGTAGCAATATTAACTTCTGCCCTATTAGCATAATTTTCTATTACAATCAAGGTAAAGTTGACAAGGTGTTCAATAACATGTGTGACTCTTTCCAAGTACAGGCCAAGAACAGCTTAATCCAGAGTTGTCTGATGTTAGACGAAAATATGTGGTGATATAAGATCCATGTAGACTGTATCTGCAAGCAAAGATGTAAGGGGGAAAGTAAAAAGGGAGGTACAAAGTATATGAATATATGAAATTGTGTTGATTTTTTTTTTTTTTTTTGCTGTGATGCTATAGCTGTTAAATATATCCCTCTGATTACATAATTTTCTGTGAAATGACTGTCAGCTGCTGAGGACTTTTGCTGCGTTTTGTCATGTGGTTCACATGAATCTGTGGATCTCCCTGGCTTCTGTTGCACAGCAATTTGTTCTGTGCATGAGACTTTAAAAGCAGGCTCTTCTACAGTGAGTACAGGAGTGTCAGGGGTGCTTTGAAGGGATAATTGGCTTCCTTCCATTTGAGGATTTAATACAGCACCTTTCCACTCCCCAGCACAGTAACCCATATCTTGTGTGTCACTCCAGGAAAGTTGGTTTATTATAGCAGAGTTCTACAAAATACCTGCTCCTGTAAGAGCTGTCATAGCATGCTTTCTGACTAATCTGGAACCCAAGAGTGTGCTGCTGTCTGAAAGCAGTAGAAGTTGACACTGCTGTGCCCAAGGCTGCAGTAATGTTTGAGGAATAGCTTCCAGTTTGTGTGTTTGTTTTGGTACTTCTGTTACCAGACAGAATAGATGGGCTCTCCTTCAGTTCCTTCAGATATGATTTTGCATTGAATTTCAGCCTTGGGCTAGGAGGAAGGACTCATTTTCTCTTAACACATGGTCAATATGTTTACTTGTGTTTTATTAAACACCAAAGACAACAGCATTTCTCTTCATTGTGAACAGAGTGAACTCAAGGACCTGATTCAGCAGAATGTCTGTGCATATGCTTAAATTTAAGCACACAATTAAAAGTTCTGGGGAAGAGGGATTTGGGACTTGTAATAAAAAGTGAGATTAGAAAGATTAGAGGACGAATGGCATGAGTGGAATAGAAGCATTAGGCTGTTTGGGTGGTCTACTTTGCAATCCTGTAGTTTGATAGTTATTTTGCATAACTTATTTTGGTCCTTACTCCTCAGACTGAGTTGAAACAACTGAGATGCAAATGTTCTTCTGGGAAAATATGTCTGATAAAAGTATAATCCTTAAAGGATGATCTTTACTTACCTGTAACAGACTTTAAAGTAACATGCTCGCACATGTCATGAGTGCCTGGTTGTGTCTGCTTTTCACGACAGACAATGTAAAATCAGGAGTGACCTTTGGGCAGTCTAGAAGCTTTTCTGGGTCTGCAACAGAGATGTAAGTCTGAATTGTTCAGAGCTTTCTGCTCCACCTTCTCTCTGTCATTTGTCCCGTATGACAATTCTTACTAGCATGTAATTGTTGAGATCCTGTTTGCACCTGGCATGTAGTGAGCTGTTCTTAATGTTGCATTTCATGTACAAAACCCAAAAAGGTGGCAAAGATGATGAAAGACCATCCCTTCCAAGAGTGGTTATGAACATTAGGCTTGCTTTTATTATGAAAGAGTGCAGCCATTCCTAAGGTTTTAGAATGATGTACACAGCAAGGAATAATTTTAATGGAAGAAATGACACCTACTGTTTGTTGCAGACTTTGAGATATTCAGGAAGTGCTAAACATTGAAACATACAAATAATAGTCAGGGAGATTGGGGAAGAAATTCTTTAACTCCATACTACTTTAATGATTCACTTTGTACTCATTTTCTTCCTTCAAGGTTATTCTTAATTACCAGCATGGTAATACAAGGGAATCTTTTGCAATGCTAAAGCACTTAAAGCTAAGTGTGTATATTTTAATTTGTTTGAATGAGGTGATCTCTATGGCAGATACAAAAGAGAAAGAATTTCTGTTCTGAGTTCAGAGGTATTCAAGACAACAAAACTTGGATTTAGAAATGCACAAACCATTTCCTTTCATCAGGCTAAGCAAAGCAGGTCTGTGAGGAAGCTAATTCATGTCATGTATATAAAGCAAGTCAAATTCCAACTACTACAAAGCTTTTATGTAAGACTTTGCTGACCCAATAGGTGGTGGAATATAAATAGATCAACAGTACACCCTTCCTTCTGCTGTTCTACCTAATCCTTCCTTGCCTTCAGCACTGAAGAGCATTTGATCTGTTGAGTCTTAAATCAGACATTGTTTCCTATAAAAAAAAAAAAAAACAAAATCCAGGAAAATGAAAATTTAATGGCATAATAGTGTTCTTGTGATTTTTTTTTAGAATGAGAAGCTGAATTAGGAATATGCTATTGTTCTTCCTTTTTTTTTTCGTATATGCTAACTTCATAAAGCTGTAAATGCCTGGCTCTCTACTTGCACTCCTTAGCTACCCCTGCCATGTGGCTTGACATGAGCCACTTCAAAAAAAGTAATTGTGTTAAACCTGTATTAATTTACTTTCTCCTTTTGAATAATACTTAAAATACCCTCTTCATCCTGCCTGCAGGTCTCCACTGCTGCTTGGAAGATGGAGCACTTTTTATTTTTAGTAACAATATCTCTCATGCTGGGATGGAAGAATCTTAAACCAATTAAACACATTAGAAGATAACTGTGTGTAGGTTTTGGTTCAAGATCTCCATTTTCTTCACTCTGGGGTATGTCCTAGTACCAGCCTTTCTATCCTAGATGACAGAAATAGTGTGATAAGCTGCTAACTAGGTAAGCAGTACAGCTGCTGCTTTGTCAGGTATTTTGTTGCCAAAAAACCAATTCTGATGGGCTTTGCCTTTTTTTAAATTCCATTACAGTTAAGTTTTATAAATTATCTCTGTTTTTACTTAGGAAATTTTTTCAGCTGCCTGTTTCTTTTTAAACATGTATTTTTTTAAAAGAATTAATCTCTTGAATGCAAAGAGTTTTTTCAAATATAAGAGGATTGTTTGTATGCACTTTTAAGATTTGATGACTTGTTCTTCCCTTTTAATAATGCTTCATTACTGGGAAAAAACTTGTGAACTGGCTAGAGTATTCTGATCCCTTAAATATGTCTGGATCCATATATTTTAACTCTGTATACACTCTGAATAGCAGGTTGATTTCATTTTTTTATTTGCAGAAGCTGGAAAAGCATGTCCAGAACCTGCACATGCATCTTTCTAGGCCAGAAAGCCTTTGGCTACGCTGACACTAAGCCTTTATTAATTTGTTACAGAATTTATATGGGTTAGCAATGTCCAGTTTGTTTAAATACAAGATACTTTCTAGGAACTGTGGCATGCATTGCTGACCTGCATGCTCTCATCAGCAGGAATATAGTCTTGAGCTTTTTATTTATTTGTCATTTTTAATTTGACAGAATACAAAGCATGGGGCAGGCTGTCCTGAATGGATTTACTCTTACGGTGGAACATCAGTACAGAATAAAGTCTGATAGCACTTTATAGAAGTCTCAACACCCTGGGTGTTGACATACTTAGCATTGTTCAGCATGGCAATGTAACCTGTATCATCTCTCTTGGAGTGGGTTGAGGGGTAAATCCTTATAAGGAGAAGTGACAGAGGTCAGTACAGTAGTGTTTTCTCTCACCAGAAATAGTAGGTCACTATCACTCTATAACTGTGTATTTCAAGTAAGGATGATAATTAAGCTGTGAGGCTACATATACTCTTTGAAGGGCAATTCTAATGTAATACTTTTGAAAATGGTAAATGTGATTTCAGAGTACTCCAAAAATTGATAAGGGAAGAGAGACAGGAAGGTAAGGTAAATCAAGGCATAGAAAAGAAGACAGTCCATTAGTCAGAGTACTGGTATAGCACTGGGGAGGCTGGATCAGTTCCTGTGCCGTGTTGGGTTTGCTGTTCTGGTTAGTGTTTCATTTCCAGTTCAGAGGACCTTGTCTACTGCTCAGTTTAGCACTACACAGCCTGTGGCCAGATCTGTGAGCTCGTAACTCCCACTGATATTGATAGTGAACAAATAGCAAGTAAATACTTCTGAAGGGGATCATTTTTTAAAGGTAATACAGGTTTTTGATAATCAAGTGCCCAATCTACTGAGTTACTGTACAGCTAATAGTCAACACTGTTTGCATCACAGGATGTTGTGAAGGTAAATTAATTTGTCAGTGAGGTGCTCAGATTGTCTCATTTGCTATCTTTCCCTCATACATGGCATTTGATAGATTGCACAGTGCTTTCTATGCAAATAGCTTCACCCTGGCTAGTTTATGTGTTTGTCTGTGGGAAGATGTATCGAAAAATGGTGGAAATTTTTTATGTTTTAAATTATGGTTGGGGCGGTTCCATCCTGTGGATTGTGTTGGCTGGGGACTTTGAGTTTTCCAGCCAGCACCACATGAAGTGCCCAGCCCCACTGCAGGTTCTTGCCATGCTGCTGCCTGCTTTCTCTCTCCAACTTGCCTGTCTACAGCCCCCATCTCCCTTGGTTTGCTAGCTGGGGAGGCGTCTCCACTTTCCAGCTTTCTCCCAGGATATGGAGGTGGCATATGGGGCCCTCCGAGGATGTTGTTTTCCATCTTTTCCCCCTTTCACTTTTCCCTTAATCCCAGAACATGGGGTAGATATTATATGTTTTAGAACAAGTCTAGAAAGACATAAGCAGGATGCCCTAAGCTCTCTCTTCCTGTGCTTCAAGTTGTTGCTAAGTTTTGGAAGCTCTAAGGCCATGCCTCTATAAACAGACCTGCGCCCACATTCTCACCTTTCTCTTCTCTTTTGCCCTTTCAGTGGGATATGGAAAGTCTGGCCAGCCTTCTGGAAGGGAAAGGTTCCTCACATCTGCGCTGAAGCAGCCATCTTTCCTTCCCTCCTCCACACACGTAATTTTAAAACAAATGTTACCCTGTAATGCAAAATTTGCTAAAGCATCTGTTTCTTCCCTGGAGCTCTGGAAAAATGTTATCAATGTGACAAGTTTGTGTGAGTCTGCCTGGAAACTGTGTATGTTAGAGGATGAGTTCAATATGCATATCTCTTGACAGCTCCTATTTATACCTACGTCAAGGTCCATATTGTCCCTCTTCTACTTTTCTACCTCCCCAGTCAGTTCCTTGAGCAGTTGGTCTCACTTTCTCCCGGATAGTTTCCAGTCTCTTGTCTAGGAAGTATTGAGTATGAAGGGCATGCTGTCATAAATCAGCAGAAGTAAACACCTGGAAAAGCATTGGTTTGCACAGCCTCATCTCACACATCCTGCTCTATTCGGGCTCCTTGCATTTATGCTGGTGGCTCCTCAGAGCCACCCTGATGAGCTGTGGAGCAGGAGGCTGCTGCGAGGCCTCAGGCTTACTGATGGCTGTATCCCTGTTCCAAATGGCATTGGGCAGGTGTGCAGGCTCCTTGCTCTGATGTGTCAGCATCTGAGTTCTGTTATGGGAGAGATTTTTCAAAGGTGTGCTTATGATCGTGATTAATTGTCCCTTTGAAAATATGAGTATTTCATATTTGCCTATAACTTTGACTAATCGCTGATCTGGGCTTTTCAAAAGCTGGCACAGCCTCGCTTGCTGAGAGTGAAAAGAGAGGATCTCTCTTGCTTAGTGCTCAGCAGCCGAAGAACTCCCATGAGTGGCAGTTACCAGGTCAACAGCAATAGAACAACCCTTGATATTAATATTTTGTAAACTAGGAAAACAAGCTCAATCAGGTGTTATTCTTTTTCAAATATTATATAGGAAGCACTTCTTTTTCTAGCATTTTTCAAATGCTGGAGAACAGCAATTGTTTGTGTAGAATTATCTGTTATTGTTAGCAATGTTTTTGCTTCTCTGCAGCATAGTGACATTGCCTTTATCCTTTAGAAGCAATGGAAAATGATAAATGAGGTTAACAAGCTTCAGTCTAAAGTGAAAACTAAATCTGTGACTATACAACTCTTGCTGCATTCGTTTTGGTCAAGGGTTGGTTTGTTCATTTATTTTCTCAGAAAAAGTGTCTCTTTTCCTTGGCCTCCTGAGAATCAGAAAACATGATTGAAACTCAGCTGGAGTAGCCTGTTTCAGGGCTAAGCAAAGAATACTAGGGACAGTATTTAGGGATGTACATAGCCTGTTTTCCTTAACTGCTTCCCAATCAGAAACTGGATGAACCTCCGGGATGCAGAAACAGGGAAAATCCTCTGGCAAGGAACAGAAGATTTGTCTGTACCTGGAGTGGAGCATGAAGGTACTGTGTGGCCTTATTGTGCATTTTGGGGCTGGCTGGTGCTGCGTGTCTGAGTCACCAGAGTTGCGAGCATACCCCTGCTTTGGAGAACAGACGTCCTGGCTGTGACTTCATACCTTCAGAGGCTTCCACCACAATAACCTGGGGACACATGGAGAAGGGTGGGAGTGGATCAGTGGCTGGCAAAGGGGACAAGTTAAATGATGCTAAACAGGAAGCTCAGCTTGGATAAGAGTGGTTGACCCTTGCTAGGTTGATTATTGGTTCCAAAATTAAAAGCATAAAAATATATTGACTTTTCTCAGTATAATAACAGGGTTTACTCAAGGTAGAGGTCAGATGGAGAACCAGTGGGGAAGAAGCATACACAGTTACTACCTTGCCTGGCCACAACTCTCCTAATATTCTCCTGTACTAAATTTGACCTCTGCTTTAAAATGGCATACATGACACACTTATTCTGCTTTCCGATCCCTCTACCATTGCTAGCCTGTTGCCCTTCCACTTCTGAGTAGCAGAGGTCTTCACTGTCCCTTACTCTTCTCTATTTGTGACAAAGCACTGTGACAGGTAACATTCGTTGCCAAGAGCTTTGCTTCAGGTCTGTGAAGAGTCTGACCTCACTGAATTAATTTTGAAGGCTTTTCTATTATGTGAGTACCATAGCAGATCTCCAGTAAGTGGAGTGAACTCAATCATTTAATTATGCTGGTGACATTGATGTATTTTTGGTTAGGCATCAAGGACTGAGTTCTGCCTGTCGCTACTAGGACTTACCTCTCCCAAAAAATGGAGAATCTGTTGTGTCTGAAGGAGGCAACCAGTGTACAAAGATCCTTCTCTGTCAAGATTATGTACAGAAGATCTGCGGCAAAACACCATGAGTCCAGTAGCCTTCCAGCAATATACCTGGTTTCAAAGCCAGCTTAAGGCACAAGAGAAATGAGTTGCCTTCTCATTTGGTGTGTGTGTGTCCCCCGGTCACCATTCATCTGCTTTATGACAAGAATTCATTAATAGAACCAGTAGTAGGTTGTCTCAGCTTAAGAGGGGCTTGATGCCAGGAATAGAGGATGCAGGTCAGAGCTAGAGGAAAGCAAAGCTATGACTTAGTGACTACTAAGAGCATTTTCCAAGCTTTGTCTCCTTCAGCCTTGTTAACCTGTACTACCATTTTATGCCAGTCTGACAGCAAACAGTTCTGCCGATAGGCCTTAACAGATATTTACTCATGCCTCTCATACAAAATACCTGTATTAAAGGAAAAACATTCCAGCATATTCATATTCAACTGTAGCAAAGCAGTTGAAATACAACCTTCAAAAGAAATGTGGTAATTAATGAGCTTAATACTAAATTTCTTAAACTGCGGGTTAGTGATTCTTTGCCTTCTTAAAATAACTGTGTGACAGGAAATCTAGGAGAAATGAGGAATCAGGCTTTAGAAAGCAGAAGAAAATTAGCCAGAAATATTCCCAGTCTTCCCAGATTTTGTGCTGCAAAATCTTCTCCTTGGAGGCATGGCTAGTCTTTGAATCCTCTTCACTCTGTCTCACAGCAGTGTGTTGCACTGCCATGGTTCAGTGCAAACTGCAGAAAGGTGTGCTCTGGGGCAGAGAGGACAGCTGGAACTGTCTCAGGAGGGTTTGTTGTGTTGCCCCATTTCCCTCCTGCCATCTTTCTCACTTTGGCAGATCATATCACCTCGCTGTGTGTCAGGTTTTCCTCACATATAAAACAGGGACCCTCACCTCCATCAGAGGAGCCTGGGGAATTAATTAAAGCATACTCTGGCATGAGATTAATGCCCATTGTACAAGGAATTGTTAAGACCTTATCTGGTGTGCAGTTCAGTCATCCATCTAGAAGATGGATGAGTGCAAACTGGAACAGGTGCAGAGAAGAGCTATTAGGAGAAGCCACTGAAAAGATTATGGATGGGATGATGGTCCTCCTTAGGAGAAGAGAGGCAAAAAGCCATTCTTGTATGGCTTAGAAAGAAGAGAAGGCTGAGATGGATAGATTATTCTCAATAAATAGTCTAAGAAACGGGAGAGGTGTCCAACAAAGGAGGATAATCTGACTATGAATTAAAAGAAGGTGCAGGGAAATGCAATTCCAGTACAGTCCTGCAACAGAAACGGAGTTAGAGTAATTGTTTTAAAATTAAGGCCACGTGTGTCTCAAAGTCATTATATAGTGTGTGTGTGTGTGTGTGTGTGTGTGTATTCTGTGGCCATTCAGGGCAAATCACAGTCTAGACATAGCAAACAAAGAATCAAATATATAGTAGAGTGAGTAAAATATATTTCCTTTAAACAGGACTTCTATTTGCTTTTTAAACAGGACTTCTATTTGGTTTAAGTACAGGTTTCTTTAAAAAATGAACTCATAAGTTTCAAATCATGATACTGTATTACTACCTAAACTTACTATTACCACTTACATTAAATTGGATTGCTGCCGAAGTCTTAACATAACCGCTGAAAGTAGGGAAAATCACTGCCACTGCCTGAGCACCTGAAACTGGAATTAACCATCTAAACCAGCTTTTGAGAGCAGGAGCTTTTATGTGTACCCAGTCAGCTCAATTTAGTGACAGTGCATTCAAAACTGGGAGGTAAATGGGATATGAAAAAAGTTTGGTTTCTTCTGATATACAAGCAAATCTTGGAGTAAGCTGCTGAGGTGTAGTACTTGTAGAATCCCCAGTGTTGTTCACAGTCACCCCAGCCAGCTTTCATTCAGGAAATAAAAATAATCCTTTCATTATCTAATAAAAGATGTAGTTTCAAATGTAAGTTTGGCTAAGATAGCTTGCTTTCTTACATGTCCCAAATATTTAAGGTTGTTTTATTAAACTATATGAAAACATGATATGGATATTTTAATTGAATTTCAGTTTCTAACTAAATGCAGTTGGACCCAAAATTCCTTGCTTAGTAAATTAGAATGTGTCATTCATCACTTTCTAATCAGAATTAAGTATCTGACTAAATCTATGTTAGCTATGTAAGTGCTTAAATAAATTTGCAGGTATAGTATATCCTCAAGTTAAAAAAAAACATGTAGTAAATTTAGGATAAAGTCTGTGCTTACCCACATTTCAGCATGTTTTAAAATGGACCTAACTAATGAGAATCTATCTTCTTTCTCTTCTATATTTTTAATGGAAAAAAAGAGGTATAAAAGAAAAATTAGTTTAAAATAAGTAACTTTAATTAAAATTTCTGCTTGATGGTATAAATATCAACTAAAATCTCTTAGATCAGATGTTTAAAGACTACACAGTCTTACTTTTATTAAAAGTAACCTTTTATTTTATAGTTTTACAATATTAAAGCAAACATTCTCAGCCGTCTGTCTTGGGGATGAAAGAAATGTAATTACTAAATTGCAGAATAGTTTTAACAAGTCATTTTTCACTTAACTGCACAGGGATGTTTATTCACAACAGGCTGTAGTCTGTACTTGTGAGGGCAGTAAAGGATGGTGCCATGCAGATTTCTATTCTGGAAAAAAAAAAAAAAAGACTAAAAATAATTAGAGCTTTTGCATTTAAAACTCTTCCTTTACACTTTTCATTTTCTCTTACTTCTTTTAAGCAAACCGTGGGCTGTGTACTTCGCCATGGGATAGGATGGTAGCTTACATTCCCTAACCCTCCAGCTCTCTAGATTGGTTTCTTATCAAGGTCCTACTCCATTAAACTTCATTAGATGGATTTGCCTGGGGTTTTGTAGACTTCCTTTTATTAAACAGCAGCCTGCTCATGGATGTTTTGATACGCTTTCCATTGAGGAACAGTTTGGCTCATAAAGCACATGCCAGCTGTATTCCCTCCCCTCTTTTATTTCTAATAAATTTACATGAAATATTTTGTATTACGCAGGAAGGATTATGTATAATCACACCACTGAAGTATGATGGGCTTGGGAGAGTTTTAGTATATTGACTCCCCCCTGTATTCTCCTGATTAGGACCTTTCAGCATGTTAATCAGTGCTCCCAAACTGTCCCTTCTTTTACTCCTCCACCTCTAAAAAAAAGCTTTATGAAATATCTACCGGGTACGGTTTGCCACTTGCTGTTAGTGTCTCATCCCTTGCAAGAGCCCAGAAACCCTGGATTGTCAAATTACTCTCTCTCTTAAACTCTCTAGTTTGGTACTGCCTGTGGGTCACAACATTTGGGGAACAGACATTTTGTATACTTTTACAGAATGACTTCCCAGAGCTATGTGAGATGGTTGAAACAGTGCTGCTGGGCTCTGAAATAGCCGTTTGTGGTTTGCTGGGGATGCACACAGCCTGAAAGGAGAGGAGAAGTGAGAAGGGCTAACACGCTTGGTGTACTAAGCAGCCCTTCAACAACTTGTGATCATCAGCACACTTCCTAAAGTAAAAAATAAAGTTAGATCTCATATGTCAACTTGAAGAATTGTGGGTTTTAGTAATAAGCAGCTAAGAACCAGGAGTCTGAGAGATCAGTGTTATATCCCTGGTTCTGTCACAAGTTTCTTTCTTGGCTTGGGGCAAGGTACATTAATCTTGGATTTCACTCTTGCAAATGTAAAAACAAAGTCCTCTGTGTTTGTATTTCTCCTGCTACTATGATCTTGTACTAGCACTAATCATTAATCGGAGTATTCTCATAGCATCTGAAGCATCTGGGTTTGTTTTACTGTGTCCAAATAATGCTTCTTATCTGTTTCACAGCTCGAGTTCCCAAAAAAATCCTGAAATGCAAAGCAGTGTCTCGGGAGTTAAACTTTTCCTCAGCAGAACAAATGGAAAAATTCCGACTGGAACAGAAAGTTTATTTCAAAGGGCAGTGTCTAGAAGGTATGCATCTGCTCTATGTGCAGTCCTGCGGCAGCGCAGGGAGTGACCCCAGCGCAGCGGGGAGTAGAGAAACTAAAATGGGTTGAACGTGGTGATTTTAATTTTTCAGAGTAGCACTGGAGTGCTCATCTTGTCAGGACTAATGGGCCACAGTATTAGGGATAGCATTTCATAAGTGTATTAACAGTTTGTTATGTAAGCAAAAAATCTGGGTAATCATGCTTCAGGGCATAAATCCACCGCAGGCTGCCTGAGGCAAGGAAACAGGTTATTTTAGAGTCACCCATTATGGGGATTCGTGTATCTTCCTCAGAAGCACCTAGTGCTGGCCACCACCAGGCTGGAGGCTGGACTAAAGGTTTACTTTGGTTACAGCAGTGCCACCGAGTGTTGTCCCTGTGACTCCATAGCTGCACATCTGACCTCCCTCACTGCAGTATTACTCTTAATCTGGGGCAGAGGAGGGGGAGATAAAACAGTGAGCTCCTTGTCTTTTGGGCAACCAGTTGTACACTTAATCTCAACTCGATCCAGCCTGCAAAAGGGGGAGTATGGTTTCCCTGTTTCCAATTAGGTGTGATGAAATTTCCACTGAATGCTAAGGAAGTGGTGTGGCTTTATCATTACCATCAGCTATTTTAGAAAGGGAGTATCTGCTTTAAGAGGAGGGCAGGGTTCAGTGCAGTTTAAGACATACAAGTAATTTAAATGTAAAATGTTGGCAGCACAGCAGGACAGTTTAGGGAGTTCCCCAGCCTGTCAGGTGAAAAGCAAAAGGACCATTTGTGGATTTTATCTTCTTTCAAATGCCTCTGGATCTTCTTTTTACTTTGCAGAATGGTTCTTTGAATTCGGTTTTGTGATTCCTAACTCCACAAACACTTGGCAGTCCTTGATAGAGGCAGCACCTGAATCACAGATGATGCCAGCTAACGTTTTAACGTGAGTGCCTTGGGCTTACAGACTCTGAGAGCAGGCAAAAATAAAAGCAGTGTGGCATTTCCTTGGGGACCACAGTGGGAATGAAGAGAGGGAGCTGCTACCAACTCTGAATCACCCTCACTACTGTTAGTTGTTGAGAGATGAAAAGGGCTAAGCCAACCTCATTACCTTTTTTCCCATAGGTCCAATTTGCATTAATAGAGCAGTACAAGTTTGGAGAAAGTGGAACTGATCCTTTATTAGAGTTGCTTAATTTTTTTTGAAAGGTGAACTGTGAAAGGATTTTATGATGTTTTACAGCCGAATTACCCCTTACATCCAGAGAGAAAAAAAATGTTTGGGCCATTTTCAAATCCAGCTATTGATCACTCACTTTTTCCAAGGTGGTTGTTTTTCATGTAATGTATCACCATAGGAGCTGTTGTAGTGTTTGTTTCATCACTGTACCATTTTGCCAAGCTTTGAATGTCTCACGTTGGCTTATAAACTGTGCGTTTAGTCACACAGAGTTGTATTCGGGGATAAAATACCCTTAACAGGTAGGAAACAGTCATTTTGCAGTCACCTGTAATGGTATTCACACACTTTCCCCAGAAACGTCCAGTGCTGGCCAGTGTTTGCACACTGACTTGTGAGTAGGTCAGCGACCCCTAGGACTTGTGTCAGAATAACGCACGCTGGGCGTTGCTCTGGGGGTGGACAGGGAGGCACAAGCTTTGGTGGGGGATGGAAAAGGTTCCTTGAGGGAGGCCCCTGGGAAGCTGTAATCACTGACAAAAACCACCCTCCCTGCAGTGCTAGATGGGGGCTGGCAAGCACATGAGGAGCACGTTGCCAGCAGAGACAGAAGGGTATGGGAATCCTCCTGCCAACGAGAGGCAGACAGGGAGAGCCAGTCTCACCGCAAGGTCACTGTGTCCTCTGGAAGACCCTCTCCAGCATTTTCCCTCTTGTTCCCTGTCTGGAGTAAAGCCAGTCACATAGAGGAGGCACCAGGATGGGAACTACCGTCACTGATTTCTATTCACAGCACGTCTCAAAGAGAGTGTGGACTCAGAGAGCATCAGTGTTCAAACACTGCTCCCTGGCACAGTCTGCTCGGGACCATGTAGGTGCTACACATGTCCTTGGCTTCCAGAGCCAGTGGCTTTCAGGCAGGACAGGAGGAGCCGGATTTGGGAATCAGAGTAAAGAAATAAAGAAATCTGACAAGTTAGTTTTGTCCGTTTTTGGGAAATCAAGGCATTTTCAGGACTGGGAGTTGAGAGAGTCCAGTTCTCAAATGACCTTGAGGATTTTCCAGTGTCCCATTCTTTCCCTGGAGTCTGTCCACTTGTCATGGTCAGCCCAGATCTCTCTCCTATTCATGGAAGTGTCCTAAAGTTGTTCTTGAGGCTTTTCAGTAGAATCACCAGCCCAAAGAAATCCAAAAATTTTTTTTTGGCCCAAAGAAATCAGCTTTTTTCAGCTGCCAAGACTTGAAGAGCCCCTCACTTTCTGATATTCCCAAAGACCTCATGTTTGTCTCAGTGTTTCCATAGCAGGAGAGAATGGAGATGTGGTATTTGGTGGTAAGTGAGGCACTCTGCACAAAGGATTCCCAGGATGACTGAATGTCAGACAGAACATTCCCTGACATTTGAGTTCAAGCATTGGCCACGCCACAGCAAAAGCCTTCCGTTTTTGCCAGGTTCAGCTTTGCCAGCGTTTACAGATACCAAGAGTCACAGTGGAGATGGAACTGCTTTTCTGATTTTCAAGAGCCAAAGTTCTTTTGTCTACCAAAACCTCAAAGTCAGCACCTTAAATCATCAGAGCTTTTGTCACACCCAAATCTACATTTCCATTGCAGTTTGTATAAAATATGCTTGTGTGTTTGCATTTAAGCATTGCTTGAGGGAAATGACATCCTAAGTTGCTTGAAGTAGCTTGCTCAGCACTAGAGGACAGAGATGGGGAATAAAAAAAGAATTTCCATTGGTTTTCACAATTCACTGCAAAAAGAGAGGGGCCTGAAGGTTCTGGGACTGCTAGTTTATTTTTAGCGACAGACGTGAGCAGAAGTTTGCTGTTTGTGAGCCCTCTGCAGCCTGCGTGGTAACTGTGCCCAGCAAGGGGGTGACACGGGAGGGATGGGGGAGCTGCTCCACGTAGGAACGCAGTGGAGAGCTCCTGCAGCCCCGACGGCCCCGAAACAGAGCTCAGTGCTCACCGCACGCAGCTCCAAACCCCAGCTCCTGTTGCAGGGGGCAAGGTGTCAGCCCAGGCGGGGCAGAGCAGTGAGGGGAGCAGTTGTTTTCTACTGTTCATGCATTGTTCTAATACCTCTTCTTTCTCCTCTCTTCCCTCCACAGTGGTAATGTTATTATAGAAACCAAATTCTATGATGACGATCTTCTCGTAAGCACTTCCAGAGTGAGACTTTTCTACGTTTGAGATGGCGCTTTTTGGAGCTGTTTTAGTTTTCCTCCATACAGTTCTTGGTGCAGAACCCCCCGACTATCCAGTGGAAGACACTCCTGTAGGCGGTGACCCTGGGGACCAGCTCAACGTGGGTTGTGACCTTTGCCCATCAGTTGTTTTGCTTTCTTCTCTGACAAGACCAGACCAAACCCTCAGAGACAGGACCATCTGCTCAGCGGTGCACTGGGGAATAGAGGCTGTCTCTGAACACGGGCAAACGGTGGTCATGCAGAACCAATACTGTAAATTATGTTAGTTTCATCCTTTGTACTTCTCTGGATCCTGTTATAATCTCCCATTTCCACTCACACCAAACTCTAAATGCGTTTCATTTTTGGGGGATTAAGTTAACTTTTTCATTTTTCTCATGTTGTAGGTTTTTATCCTTTCACTGGATTTCTGTGTAACTGGTCCACACATCCTCTTACCCTGAACTTGTAAAATAGACTGTGATATCACCTAATGTAATTAAAACAAATTTCTCAATTAAAACATTCCTACCGTCCAAAGAAGGGAAGAAATGTTAGTTATGTGCATTTTCCTTTCTGTGATAAGGCAGGCACAAACTGTCATCACTCAAGCCAGCAGCAGCACTGGCCTTTCCACAGCCCTGCTTCTTCCACAGGCCCCGTACCCTTGTTAAGTTTCTCTTCCTCCAGCTGACCATGCAGGAAAGGTTTCCTGACTGCTCCCACACAGGTTTCTCCTTGGCCTTGTTTCTGTCCATTAATCCTGCGTGCCCAGTCACCAGTTTCTTGAGCAGCACTGCACGCTGTTCTGCTTTTCTAAGTTCCTGGGGACAGTCAAACCCCCCCTGGAAATCCTGCGTTCCCCTGAGCCCACCAGCCTCAGTCCTGGGCTGGGCTGAGCGCCCTGAAGCCAGCTCTGCCTGCGGTTGCTGATGCCAACAATCCCCACACACGTGGCTTTAATGACACATGGTGACAATTTTGCTATGACAGGCTTCTCAAGCCCTACCACTACCCTTTCCTCTTGTTTATAATTTGCTCTAGCATGTGTAAGCCTTGGGAAGGTGGCACCTCCAGCTCCTGCTCTTAAACATCACAGGCAGCTTTATGATCTCTTGACACCTTGATCTGCCTGTCCTGTGGCTGGGCTTGAGATTCCCAGGACTCTCACATGGAGGTGAAATGTGTCATTTCAGATCCTCAATTCAGCCACTGAGCATATGCGGGAGAGACAGAGCTTTTTTTTTTTTTTTTTTTTTAAGGTGAATTGAAGTTGGACCTTTAATCCCCATGAGAAGAGCGTTAGCCATTGTAGCAGCTGTCTCATGAGCCCTCTCATGAGCTGCGGGATTTCAGCCTGCTGGGCCCACAGGGCAGAGTCTCCTCGGCAGCTGCGGAGAGAGAGCAGCTGAAACTGCCTTCCATACCCAGCATGAATGACACCCAGCGATGCGATCGCCGTCAAAGGGGAGAGAAAAAGTATCCAAAGAGGAAATATAAAAGTTGGAGGGCCCTGAGAGCAGGTACCTCTCTTGTTCGAGGACAGGTGCTGTGCTGGGGACACACACAGGAGGTGTCGGGAGAAGCGTCTCCTCTCGCCAAGCTGGGCTTCAGCAGAGGGCCGGGGGGGCTTTGCCCTGCAGCAGCGGGTGCTCCCCACGAGACCGAACTTAACCTGGATGCTTTTTCCTCTAACAGCAAACAAGCTGCCAATTTTTGCACCCACTTAACTTTACGGGCATGCCCGGCTCCTGCCCCACACGCTGCAGGTCTCCGAGGGGTTTTAGATGGCCACTGACACGCGTGGCTGCGGCTCCCGCGGGGTGAGCTGCTCTTACAGAGGGCCCTGGAGGGACGCGGGTCCTGAGACGGCCCGGGGAGCACCTTCCCTTCCCGCCCGCCCCAGTTCGCCCAGTTGACCCAGTTCGAGCTGGCCGGCCCCGCGGCGGCAGCTCTGCGGCAGCTCGTTGCCGCCCTCAAGTGGCTCCGTGGGAAATAGCTGGCAATTTACCCGCTCCTGTCACTGGACCAGCCTCTCCCAGTCCCCCCCAGCCTCCCTTAAAGAACCGATGGAGCAAACGCCGGGCCCGGGGGAGAGCAGGAGCCCGGATCCGGCCGGCAGAAAGGCCCCGGTAGGGCAGGGGGGCACAGCATGGTCTGACCAGACACCACCCAGAATCCAGGTGAAGGGCCCACAGGTGCTCAGAGCAGGAGCCCGTGCCCTCCAAACAGCTGCGGGTCCCCTCCCAGTGGCGCTGATGGGGATTTGGGAGCCCTGGAGAAGGGGCAGGAGCCAGCATCTCTCAGGTCCCTTGCACAGGGCCGTTGGTACTGGGGCAGAAAAGGCACCAGCAAAGGGAAAAGTGAGGCTGGAAAGGGCGAGAGCAGGGCAGGAGGTCGGAGGGGGTGTGTGTGACCACTGTCACCACCCATCCGGGTGCCTGGGGTGGTTCTGGCAACGGCCTGAGGGCAGCCCCATCACACCCTCTGGGCAAAGGCAGGTGGTGGGGGGAGCAACACAGCGATTCCTCCTTTGATTTACCAAAAAAGTTCTCACCTGAGAGCTCACAGCCTTGGCACACATCTTTGGGACAGGGAAACCTCCTCCAGCCTGGTCCACGCACCAGGCTCTGCATGAGGGGAAGGCTCTGGGGTGGCGAGAGGGGCAATTCTGGGGGGTAGGACCTGGCTGGGCCAGGTGAGGAGCCTCTCCTAATGCAGGGCTCTTCCCAGAGCCCAGCTGCTCGCAAAAACCCGGCTCACCTGGACCTGCTGCTTCTGACTCTCACTGGAGCCATCGGGAGCGGGAACCGGCCGGATTCAGCAGCAGCCGCCTCCGCCGCGGGTGAACCCCAGCCGGCAGCTGCGGCGTTCCCTGGCTCATTGTTCACAGCTGGGGAGCTTTGGCCTCAGCAGCTCCCGTGGTGGGCACGAGAACATTCCAGCTGCCGGCACGCAGAGGGCATTTGTTTCTGCAAGAGCCTTGGGGCAGGGAACGTGCTCAGGAGGCTGCTCTCTGCCAGCTCCCTGTGCTGGGAGGGCTGCGAGCTGCCCCGCCAGCCCGTCAGCAAGTTTCATCCTCATGCCCTTCAGCCACGTCTTCACCTGGGAGCCCTCCAAGCTGGGGTGTTGCACAACTGCTGGGTAAAAGTAGTGAGGCAGCACAGGAGAATGATGATGCACAACACGCTTTTGGCCTTAGGGAAGCTCTCTGCATGGTTTTGGGGTCCATCACACAACACAGGCACCCTGAAGCATGGGTTTGGTTTATGGCAACAAAAATCACCCATCGATGGGCTATGGGGCTGGCAGCAGAGCAGGACCCTGACCCTGGGTGACCTGGGCTCTTGCCTGCATGCTGTGATGAGCATGATGGGGGGACAGGGTCAGCTCTTCCCCCTCACACAGCAGTTACTGGGCTCTCACAGCCTCGCTGCCCATTGCCAGCAGCCCATCAGGGTGTTACCTACCCCGGCTGCCACCCAGGCACCTTCCCTGGCCACCATGGGAGCTCTGAGCTGCCCGACTGCCTGGCAAAGCTGGCTGGGGCTCCCGCTGGCGTGCTGCCCCAGATCTGCCCTGCCCAATAACACTCAGGCGGGGAAGCAGAGCTGGCCTAATGCGGTTAATTAGCTGATTCACGAAGGTTACTGACGAACAAAAGGCGCACAAACAGCCCAGGGCCACGTTATGTTCAGTGCCTGCTTTGCTACTCTTACCTTTCCGTGGGTGCAGGCAGCAGAGGCGGGCAGCGGGCAGCGCGTGGCAGCAGGCAGGCAGCCTGTGGGGTCAGCACCATCTTGTCCCACCCCCCCCAGCTCTGTCCTCCCCAAGCAGCGCTGGGAGGTGACAGGAGAGCTCTAAGGTTTGAGTCCCTCTGTCCCTTTTGGGGGACACAGGTCACACTCCTGGTCACCGGGACAGTGCAGGCAGAGCCCCAGCCAGGCATCGAACCATTCAGACAGAGGGACTACGGGGCTGCCAGCTGACTTTGATGCAGCCCCATCCATCCCCAAAGTCAGGAGGGCAACTGGGGCAGAGGCAGGACCCAAAAGGCCCCTTTTCAGTCCAAGGTGCCCAACTCCTCCTGCCCTAGGGAGCCTCTGGCCACCAGCCCCTGGTGCCGTGGGACCCAGGCAGGATTCCTGTTGGGGTTCAGCACCCACCTCACCCCACTGCACACCTGACATCTACATCAGTGCTCCCCACTGGAACCCCCCACCACAGGAGGGCAGTGGGGGCAGCCACCCCCAGCCATGCCCTTCTTGTGACATCCAGCTCTGTGCCAAAATCCTGCCTGCACCACCCTCCCCGCGCCAAAACCCTGCCTGCTCTCCCAGCACCCCAGGGCCATGCAGGGTGGGGAGCAGGGCAGGCACCCAGCAGGGATGACAAGCTGAGAGGGGACAAGCTGGGGACACAGAGTATGGAGGAGGGGACAGTGGGACAGAGCTGCAGAAAGCTCTCCCGGTGTCCCAAAAGCCAGGCTGTAAAGGGCTGGCATTGCACTGGGTGTGCAAAAGGGGAGCAGTGACAAGCTGTGGGAAGGGATCACACTCACACCAGCTTTGGAAGACGGGCACCAAGAAACCACCGGAGATAGAGGAGGAAGCCACAAGAGAGAGGTGAAGACCCTGACAGCAGGGAACTTGCAGAGCTGGGGTCACCTGGTTCACAGAGGAGCAAAAGTGGCCAGAGGCCCGATATCCATGGGTGGTAAAACCAGCGGCTGAAGCCCGATGCATTTGTCTCACGAACAGGGAACATCTGCACCTGCTGCTGCTTTCCCAGATCCTTGCAGGAAACTCCCTGTTGCAGAGCAGGGGCCGGGGGGGGGTTGGCTCTGGCTGCCCCAGGCCAGCAGACACGCTGTGCTGCCCGTTCATCCCAGTCACCCACAGCCCGCTCGGGTTTCCTGGCAGGTCGGCCGTGGCAGCACGACCCGCGGACAGCCGTGGGCTGTCCCCGCGGTGCGGCCACAGCTCTCGAGGGGAGCGTTGGGGTGCCGGGCTTCTCCATCCCACGGCACTAGATGGTGCTGCAATACAGCAGCAGCGCCTGGGCTGCGCGGCGCCTGCACCGCGCCGGCGGGGAGGACGCTGCCCTCGGTCACCGCATCGGCCGGGGACTGCGGGAGAGCCCCCGGGGGTCCGGGCTGCTCACTCTGGCCCCCACCACTGCAGGTGCACCCCGCGGCAGCTGGGAGCCGTTCTGAGCCCTCACACCGCCTCTGGGGCCTCGCTTGGTGGTGAAGCCAACCCCGGGGAGGCTCAGCAGCCCGTGGATCCAGGGGCTGGCAGTGCCCGAGTGCCCGGCCGCAGAGTGGGTGGCTCATACTCGCCCTGGGTTGCCCTCGGGCCACACACCAACTGAGCATCCAGGTCTCCGGCTTTAGGCACCAGCTGCATCACCCCTCGCACCTCCTGCCCCAAGTCATGGAAGAGGGGTGCCGGTTTCCAGATCCCTGAAAGACCAGAGCCAGGAGCCTGCTCTGCCTGCGGCAAAGGAGAGGGGGACAGAGAGGTGCCCAGAGGGCCTGGGGCACCCCCGTG